CGACGATCGGGGGTTCGAAAATTTACAGTCGGTCGGGGGTTCGTTTCCGCTCGTTTCGGCCGCTGGCTAGTTCGAGGAGGGTGAGGATCAAAATTGTCGCCGCCGTGAATGGAGGGGCAGATTTTTGGCGAATTTCGCTAATACACAACATCCGTGGTGTGGGGTTTGTGACCAGCTCTTATCGCTGATCCGGCATTTACCCGTCGCCAGGAACAAGCTTTGGTCATGTGATCTCGAGATTTTCTGGTGTAGCTTCACTTGAACTCTCTGTCCAACATTCGCCGATTTGGGGACTGCTACCAATTGAATCGTTGGATCAAAATTGCATTTCCTGATTGCGGTTTCTCACGGCCTTCAGCTTCAACCCATTTTGCCAGCATTCCGAGCACTGCATCCCGACCCAATCGCTCAGTTGATCGTCGAACGATATTTGCGACACTCGATTCAAGATGGCACACAACCTCACCCGAAGCTTCGCATGCCTTCGGGTTTCGGCTGCTACCCCAAGCACCCTCGCCCGGTCGGCTCCTTTCTTCCAGCAGATTGCCTTTGTGTCCTACAGGCCCAACCCTTTAGCCCCTCGACGACCTCATCAACCTCCTCCGGTCAAGATCCACCCATCCGAACGACCTCTCGCCCGGGAACCCCTCGAGCCCCCGACGATAACTGAGGAAGAGCTCGCCAGCAGGCCATACGTTGTCCGCCGCACACCCTATGCTCAACTACCTGTATACCGTGTGTGGAAGTCAGGCGGCACGAGAGAAATCATCCTCGTCAAGAAGGTCAACGGCAATAAGCAACAACTGGTGAAGGAGCTCAAAGAGAAGATCGGCATCGCCCAAGACAAAATCAAGATCAACCCCACGACGGGACATATAGAAATCAATGTGCGTTTTTTACTGTGCTGTGAACAACCGTGGTCGGCGGTTCAGCTAATCTCGAGAACAGGGCCATTATTTGGACAAAACGAGAGCTCACCTCGTTGAACGCGGATTCTAACCTAGGCCATCCTGCGTTGTATATTTACATATCAAATGAAATGACACATGATAGTGGATTCGCACATCAGGCAGCACGGCTTGAGGGCAGAAACTACTTGTACAAATATAGCATAATGTTCCACAGTGGTGGTGGTTTCAAATATGTACAATACATTTGACATTCCGAATACCCAATAGAATAAAAACAAAACGTGGTATCAGTGTATCTCATTCCTATCCGTGTAGGCACCAGCGCCCTAGAGAAGCCACAGAGCCATAACCCAAAGCCTCATCGAGACACATGCAAAAAATTTAACACCAGAAAAAAAAAGGAGAGGGAGTTTGCTCTGCCGAATTAGCATCAAAAAATGCAATTCTGTCCAAGTGACATATCCCAGACGCTATGTTCGCTAGAAATATCCAGACCCTGCATGGCCGGTCACCTTTTATACTCAAAATTGAACCCCATGAACACCAACCCTAGTCCCATTGCCTACCAACTGAGATTGTAGCATGCTGTAAGATGATGCAGAAACCCTTCCTTTGTCCACTCAGGCGAAGGCAAACTCAAAGATTCCAACAAAGATTGAGATGAAGGAAGCAGAGCTGTGAGAAGTGACGAAAACGAGTCCTCATCATCCCTTGCTTTCTCCGCAAGCCTCCGCAGTAATGAGACAGCAGTAACAGCGAGATATACAAGTTCGGCGTCTTTTCGTGGTGGTGCTCGGGTAGCGCCTCTGTTGAATGCACCAGGTTGCTCGTACTGCCTGCTCAGTCTCTCCACCAGCCCCAGCAGATTCTGTGCGAGATCATTCTCAGAAAGAAGCCATGCCTTTGTTATTCCTGCTTCGGGGCCGGGGGCTAACGATGCGATGATCTCAGCAGAGAGGAGGCCCTGCATGAGATATGGCTTCCGGGCCTCCACAAGAGACGGGTAATTCTGCGGCCGCTTTTGCTCGTGGAGCTTGTCGGGGATTGGTGATATGGCGAGGGCAAATGTCCGGTTGAGAAGTTCGAAAGGTGGGGTATTGGTGGCATCAGTTGCAAACAAAGTCTTATAATGCGTACGATTTGGCTCGTCTCGTGCAAATAACTTAGCCAGAGCGTCCACGGCATGGGGCAAGTAAGGATGCAGACTTGGCTCGTAGGGAGGATAACTCCAAGTACCCTTAATCGTCGTTGGGCCAGGGGCAGGTGCAAAGGCAAGCAGAAACTGGAGGAAGCAAAGAGCCTGTTCCTTGCTGGGGAGCTCGATGGAGCTGGAGAGGTTAGAAAGCAGGATAACCATGTCCTTCATAAAATCCAAAGTATTGGCGTGTGTCCGTAACAACATGGTTCGTGTGCCGAGATATCTTATGATGACACCCAGGAATTTGACGACAGACTCATCCGCGAGAACTACATGGTTCTCATTGTGCTCGGTCGGGAAAGAGACATTGCGCAGAAAGGTGGTAATACAGATCAAGCGATCAACCGCACGGTCAAGCTCATAGTCCTGGCTCCCAAATACCGGGCTTTCCTTCACGTTCAGCTGCTCAAGACGACAAGATCTTACGAGGTCTTCGTATGGTGTCAATAATATCTCATCCGAAACCTCCACGGTATGTTCAGCGAGGAATTCCAATTGTTCTTCAGCAAAGTCGAGCATGGCCTCAACCAGATCCTCGCAGAACCTTAACTGAAGGGCCAGGTGGGGATGTGTCGAGTTTGAGACTGCTACTAGAGTATCCAAAGCAAGTCGAACCTCCCCGTGAATTCCACTTTGCAGACTCCGAGTGAGCGCCTGGATATCGATATTGCCCATCTCGGCGAGCGGGGGTACGTCAGGCTCCCACCTTGCCAGTTCCATAGCAAGAGAGTTCGTTCCACCAATATCGACTCCGCCATAGGTTGTGAGCTCCCGAGAGCAAGGAGTATATTCATCTGACTTCGGACGCATCCTTGGCATACCGGCTTCTGGAGGCGCAACCGAAAGAGGAGGTCTACCTTCAGCCTGATTCATTGAAATGCTACCGCTTTTGCTGTGGACGGGGGACGGGGCAATGAATTCGCCTTGCACTTGAGCCTCGATCGGAGTTGACATAGAACCTCTGTTGTGAGTGGCTACAGCGTTCGGTGGAGGTTGTTGTTGCGTTTGCTGAGGAGTCTGGAATCCATTCATAGAAAGAGATCCTGGCTTCGAAGGCGTCTGCTGCTGCGGTTGGTGCTGTCCTGGCTGCATCTGACCCTGGTTCATCTGCTGATTTGGCTGCATAGGTTTCTGCGGCGCTCCTTGTTGAGGATGTTGTATCATCCGACTCTTTGCTTGTGCCATCCACGCTTCTTCGAACTTTAGCAGGTTACGCTCATATATTTGTTTCAGAGCAGGTCCCACAGTGGGCAGTTGCGCCGGGAGCCCGAGTGCTTGAGCGATGTATGGCCACCCATTTGCCGCAGTGACAGGTTTGTAACCGCCTTTGTTCTGTACATGCGAGAATAACGTAACTAGATTCACCGGGCGATCTCCAATCATGGGGTTAGGATCAAGAGGAAGCCCTTTCATGTTCATTAAGTGTGTCAGGCTCTTCATGAAGTTCTCGGGGTTCGGGTTCGTCATCTGTCGGGGGCGCATCATACCGCCCTGAGGCTGAGGAGGCTGTCCATTTTGCATCATTGGAGGTTGCTGTTTCGGTATCATGCCACGTCCCATTTGCTGAGCTTGCATTTGAGCCTGCATCTGCATGTTTCCCTGCAATTGCTGCTGAAGTCGCATCTGATATGCGGCCATCTTCTGCTGCTGTTGCGACTGCTGTGATTGCTGCTGCATCTGCTGTTGCTGCTGCTGCGGGTGCTGCTGTTGAGGGTGTTGCTGCGGTTGCTGTTGCTGCATCTGGTACATATTATTTCCCATCTGTCCTCCTTGCGGAGGCATCTGCCCCATCTGCTGGGACATCAACTGGCTAGTGGCCATGGGGTTCGGGTTCGATGGCGGTCGCGTATTTGATGGTGACGGCGCAAAGCTGGGGCTATAGCCTTGTGGCATATTCTGCATATAGGGATTTTGCTGAGGAGTGCCAACGTGTTCCGATGTGACTGGCGAGGTTTGCGCGGTAAACTGCTGTGTCCCGGGTGAGAAAGGATGAGGAGATGCGGTAGCAACTCGTTGTGGAACGCTTCCCGGCCGCATTTGATTACCCATTATTGGCGAAGGGCTCGCGTTGGCAGAACCGTTAGCCTGAAGATGCGAGTATTGGCCTGGTCCCTGTTGGGGAATTTGGCCAGCCTGGTAACCAGCGAAGCTTTGTTGTTGCGGCGTTTGCGATCTGGACGTAGGCAGCATGCCTGGGTTTTGGGTTGGGGAGCCGGCCATGCTTTCATCGCGCGGTCGCGGTCGCTTCGATGGAATAACCGAGTTTGTTTGATAGACAGGATTCTGATATGCCGATGGCGACGCATTGCGCATCGGGCCGTTTTGCATCGCCTGCATCTGGTGCTGGCTCGGGTTTTGCTGGGGCTGTTGCGGCTGCTGTTGGTTCTGGAATTGCGCGGGATTGAATTGGCCAGCATTGGCCATAAACGCTGACGGATCCATCATGGCGCCAGCAGAATTGGGATCGTTCATATGCGGAAAACCGTTTCCATTGTGGTTTGGTACAGCGTCGTTCATCCAGGTACTCATATCGAAGGAAGCGACGACCAACTGGACTGTTGAGCGCGGTGTCAGCTAATCAAGGACCACGCGACAAATGCTCCATCGAATAGAAAAGAAGCGCCAAAGCAAATGATGATGGGGCCGCAGCAAGGTACGGGGGGGAGCGATGGCGATAGGAGCCGGTTGAGTCGCGCGTCGCGAGGTAGTGGTAGGTGGAGTGTAGGTGTGTGCGTGGTGGGAAAATGAGATAGGAACGGGGAGCAAGAGAGCCGGCCACAGAGACATGGCAAAAGACTCTGCTTCAACAGGGGAGACAGCCAGCGACGTGCCTCCCCATAAAAAAACGGGGGGCAGGTAGTTCCTCACCTGAGAGTCCAGTACAACTAACAATGGCAGATGTCAATGCTAGTCCTCCGAACAAGCAACGCAAAAAAAGTGCAAAAGAAAATATGCAAGCAGAGGCCAGCTGGGACGGACAACTCGATGGATTCGTTGGGTCGGTACCGGGGGGCCGAATGGAGGTGAATATTGGGGCTGGTAAGAGCAAACAATGTTAGCAGGCTGCGAGCGGAGCGTCCAGCGTCCAGAGGACAGGCAACCGTGGCGGGCGTTGGGGGACGGTACAGCGCTGTGGAGCGCTGTAAGCAACGCGCCCGTGGAGGACCAGCAGCTGAGAGCAGGAGCAAACGTGTGTGAAAATTTCGTAACGCGCCTGCCTTCAGTGCTGCACGGGTCGCATCAACAACCACCGCAGTGCAAGGCCACTGTAGTAGATCCCAAGCTTGGGGCAGCACTGGCTAGCCTTTCTTTCAAGACGGGGGCCCCTTTGCTACCAGGAGGCACGAGACACGGGTGGTGGGAGGATAGGATGGATTGACAACAGCGCCGGGGGGGCAGAGTGCAAAGCGCGTAGGCACCATACTTTGGGGCGCAACACGGTGAGGCGGAAATGGGATGAGGCGGACCGGCTTACCTAATGTTGTTCTTCTGGCCCTGCCACAGCACTACTAATAAGCTCGCTTGCAGGCTTGTGGACGCGTTCGGCAAAGGAGCTGCCAGGCAGTTGAAAGGGAACGAGACTGCTGAGACCAACGACAGCTGGCCATTGGTGCAAGTTTCGGGCGGCCATGGTTGCTGAGAAAATTGGTCAGGTGCCTCAGCATGATGACGCTAACCCTCTTTGGCCTGGTTTCCCGGGAAGGTCAGAGCTAGCAAAGACTAGGAAGGTGGAGATTGAACCAATCAGGAGCGACAGGTAAACCTAGACCCATCGAGGTGCCGGCTGTTAGTGTATTGCCCAGAGATTGCTAGAAAACCTTAACAGGCTGTCTAACTTCGCCATTTAACGATCTCATTGTAACGCTCGCCGCTGGAGGAATAGCTTGATGATCCTCTCGTGCAGCCAGAATATGCGCAATGTCGGTGAGTAGACTCCAACGGGTAGAACTCGGTGATAGGAATCACAATAAAGCCTTGTAGGAAGAGAAACGCCACAGCCTTGCGCAAAAAAGCCATGCTGAATACATGATTCTCAGTGCTTGGCGATCTCAGGCTTGTCCGGGGTTTGCTTCTAGCATTCCCACGGCAGTCAGCCAGCCAAAGGAATGACAGCTTGGCATGTATCCATATGTCCTACCATGGTGTATTTCCAGCATGGAAATGAAGGAAATGGTCGTTTCTCCTCCCAGCTGTCGATTGTAACTGCAATTCCCCCACCATGGTGTGGTGGTCGTGACCTGCTCGAGGACGACAAGATGTGCAACTCATCGGGGCACAATCATTCCACGAAGGCTAAATGATCGATATCATATGTCTGAAAGGGATGATGAGATGCAAAAATGTCGTGAGATGTCGTGAGATGCAGTGTGGTCAAAATGGTCAAATCGCAGTGTGATGGTGAGGATCACAATCAGCATGCACCAGATAAGTCCACATGTGGGCCAAGCGTGCATCGTCAGGCCCTGACGCACATATCCCAGGTGACCGTTCCAAACACGGTGTGATCAAACCCAATCGCTCGTATTTCGCCTGCTTGTGCTACGCTGAAGTATTGCACCGGTTCGTCGGTGCAGAATCACCACAAAGGTTAACGCTGAAAAGGGCCCCATCGGAAGGCGAGCGTGGATCGCTCCCAATAAGCGGGCTGCTGGGAGGGCGAAGTGAGGAATAAGCTTGCGTGAACCGGTGCGCCCGTGGGCAGTTCGATTCTAGCAGGGGATGTTTCGAGGAATGAAACAATTCTCGGCAGCTCCTCCCCTCTTGATTTCAAGCCGTCGCAAAAACACAAGGAATCTGGCAGAAGGGCCGGCCCTTGGCCTCACTTCACCTCGCAGCATCGATAAACTGGCTGGCTGATCCTTGGGAGTTGGTGCGCTTGCTTCTCATCCGCGACGCCGCTGGAAGCCGCCAATGCGCCATGCGCTGGGGTTCTCTCCAGGAGTCAAGGGTGGAGGCAAATCCCTGACGCACGAGTGGCCCGAACTGTAGTGCCGCTTGTCCATGTCATTCAACCAGCCTGCTCCACGGTGCCCCCGACGCCAGAACCACAGAGAAAGTGGTGACGGAGGGGAGGGGAAGAGCCCATTTCTGCTGTCGAAGTTTTCCCTGCTGCGTCTGTCCATGCACACAGTTCGAATCAAGAATTACCGGCGGCCCTCGATCCCATTTCTTGGTTTCGAGCAGGCTCTGGGATTCGGGAACCCAAGGTACTGGTACCTGCCCACTGGCAGGCAAGTACAGGGCCCTGGTATAAGTGGGAGGGCAAAATGCAGGCCAGATCACCAAACGTCAACCAACGCCGTGAGATCGAGTAGCTGGGCATGCAAATGGGTCGGTAGAGGGCAGCAGAACGAGCCAGCAGAAAAAAGAGATGGTAGGAAGGAAAAAGCTGGCGAGGAAAGGGGGGGCAGTTATGTGAAATAGGCCCGCGGGCGGCCGTTTTCCCTCACAGGCCTACCCAAAGCCTGACACCCGCGGCGTCGTGCTCCTGCGCTCGCTGCTATGTGCTGTGCTGTGCTGCGCTCTGTGCAGGGTTCACCTTCTCCACTGGCAAGGCAAAACAAGCATCCAGCCCAGTCATTACGCTATTTGCTCCCATCCCAATTATCCCAATGCCCGCCAAGTCAGCTAATAAATGAATGACCTTGCTTTGTTTTGCTTTATTTACCCTCTTTGCGGTGTCTTCTTTTCGGGCTGCCCGCAGCTTATTTCACACAATAATCGCAGGAGGTGCCTCCCCCGATCATCAACACATCCAGATCTCACGAGAGTGGCTCCTGACCTCCTCCTCCTCCCTTTCCCACCCCCATCGTCCATTGTTAGCCAATTCATCCTGGTCCTCTCCCCCCAAGTGCTCCCAAGCTCCCCACAGACAACAGCCCGCCACCAACCCGTTGGCGCCGCTAATTCACATCTCATCCACTCATTCAATGAGTTTGTTATTGTTTGACCGCCTGGCCTGCGTGATTCTTGGCATCGAGTCCCTCATTCTGCATGCAGACGATCTCAACGCGTCGCGGTGCTGTTTCATCCATCCTACCGTTCAGGCCAACTCTACGGCCAGCCCACCCCATACCCCGGTCTCGATGTTCTCAGCTGCTATGCCAGCAAGACCTTGTGTGATGTTATTTGTGATGAATTCCTCCCTCCTTCTCGCGCGAGTGGCTGACCGGTCGCTCGCTGGTGCCAATGTGACACATCCATCTCACTCTCGCTCCGTCATTGCAATTTTAACCAACGTTACCTCTCGTACCGGAACGGGTGAATGCTTTGCTTCCTCCACAACGCAGTGAGCGCCCACATGCCCTACCCACCACCAGGAAACCGGTGGCGGGGTTGATAACATGCCGGTGGCTGCCTGGCTTGCTCATCCCATTAAATTGCAATCCATTGTGCGGTTTGTCTGACATTGCGTACAAATGAGTTGATCTGGCCCGTGCTGTTAAATCGTCGCCTTGGCCCTTTTTGCCTTTCGCGGAGCAGCCCGCTAGTTCCGGATTATAACCCTTTGACCTCACTAATTGCCTGACCTCAATGCCGACCACTGTTTCTTCCCAGTAGACGGCTTTAATTTCTACCACCTGGTGTTCGAAAATCACCAAGTTGAAATCTGAGAATTGACACCAACGGCAAGCCCGAAGTTCTTGACCCTAGTACTTTAAGACAGGGAGAGTATGGCATCACCTTGCAGCTGCTCTACAGGGTAGGCTTACAACAAGGGGTCAGCAAAGCATGGACCGAGGTTGATATCTGAAAACTGGACTCATTGGACAAGTAGAACGGAGGTATGAAGCATTCAAATAGATTGAAAAAAAAAAAAAAAAAACCACGACCCCTAGGTCAGAGGAGGAATAGTTCCTAAGGAGTGTCATCTTTATAGGCCGCAAGTATCTTGACCTCTCTTAATGATATGCTTATTCCATAAATACTGAGATCCACCTGTATCAGTACATTGATCTGAAAGATATGGAGTATGGTGAACTTGTATCTTATCACTACTTGACGATTTTCGAAAGGAAAAGATATCGAGAGCCAAGCTAGAAACGATGGCAGTTTGCAACGCTCACCTGCTGGGACGCCTATTGTCCTCTCCGACAAGTCAGGTCTATATATTGGGATACTTCGCATATTATATCTACATAAAAGACAAACATATTGATATTCGAAATGACAAGAAGAAGGGAAATCCGAACAAGACGACCATGATTGTCTCATCTGAACTTGGAATCGTTTTTTCCTATGCTTTGCTTTGACGATAGTTTCCTAGTCTCATCCATATCTATGAGACTTGAACACTCGTCAAATCTCGACAAAGATATTATCAAAATATGAGGGTATCTCATTCTAGAGTACAAGGACATGAGAGAGAGAGGGGGGGGGGAGAGACTTAATTGGGTAGCAGTATACTCGTACAATCGAACAAAATGCTATAGAGAAAGTCTTAGCCAGATATCGACATTGATTTTCTCTACTTAACCTCTGGTTTTTTCTTATTAGTCTAGTGAGACCAGTTATTCCTGAATTGAGCCTCTAGTCCTGTGATTGAGTGGACTTACCCCAACTTGATATCGAGCGCAAACCGCTATGAGGTTTCGAGACCATATCTCATTTTCTTTTTTCATAAGATGTTGTTTTCTTCCACTTTATGATTTATCGAACAGGAGGTGGAAATGGTATATTTCATGAAATTCTTTTACATTATTTTCAGATCTATGCGAAATGATCTATGAGAGAAAAAAGTCTATGTAGCCCACTCAAAAAAACAAATCTTTTACGCTTATTGCTTAAGGGAGTCGATGTACTCCTTGACCAAGTCCTCGGGGTGCTTATCCCTGATGAGTCCCAGACGGTCAGGGGTGGTAGGGTCGAAATCCAAAGGCCAGCTTCGCAGGATTCTCTCGAACACGGGGTTGGTCTCAAACTTGAGGAGCTTGAGCTTGTCCTCGCCACCGTACTTGGCCAGGCCGTCCATCAGCTCCTTTACGGAGGCGGACACGCCGGGGAAGTTGATGTGGCGTCTGTGGGGAGGGAGGGCGTCGTTGGGGAGGTTCAGGACGCGCACCAGGTTCTCGATGGTGCTGCTGGGGGAGCAGACGTAGGAGCGGTAGGAGGTGTCGGTCAGGGGGATGACGCACTCCTCGCCCTTCATGGGCTCCCGGATCATGCCCGACAGGAAGGAGGGGGCGGCGTTGCTGGGCTTGCCGGGGCGGACGACGATGGTGGGGAACCGCACGGTGAAGGCATCGACGAAGCCCTTGCGGTTCATGTCGTTGATGATGATCTCAGTAGAGTACTTGTGGGAGCCGTAGGTACCCTCGGGTGTGGGGGTAACGTCGTCGGTAACGACCGCGGGGAGAGGCTGACCGAAGACGGCCTGGG